GGGGCGTGAAGTCTTTGGCACTGGTAAAACACGGGAGGTTTTCCAGAGCTGTGGGACTCTCCCCAGCCTCAGGTTCAGGTTGAAGATGCGCTCCATCACCCCACACAGTTGGTCCGCGCAGGACCTGACGACCCTTGAGCTGATGCCATCTGGGCCCACCGCCTTCTCGGCATTAATCCTCCTCAGTTCCCTCCTAACCTGGGTGGTTGAGAGAGACAGGCTGGAGCCTTGTGTTGAGTGTGTATTGGATGCTGTTGTTGGGGGTGGGGAGGAGTGAGCAGGGTGAGTAGAGGAGGTGTGAAGCAGTGTTGCCAATTTAGCGACTTTGTCGCTATATTTAGCGAGTTTTCAGACCCCCTTAGCGACTTTTTTTCTAAAAAGCGACTAGCGACAAATCTGGCGACTTTTTCTGGTATTACTGGAGACTTATTTATGACGACTTTTTGACGTGAAAACACATATCGCTCTTACTCTCAACAGGCAGCGGTGCTGCCTGGGGCACCTCATCCGTGTCAAAGCACTCCCAGGCGGAGGATAGTCCTCCCCCAGCTGCTATCAGGGCAGGAGACGTTTACACCTGTGCGTCCAAAAGGCAAATGAATCGCGCATGAGCGAAGCCGCTGCTCCCGCACTGACTGTAACGCAGTCAGTTCTTTTACTGTTATGCTGTTTTGTGGATCACAAGGTTTAAAACTACTTATAAACACACACTCTCACACACAAAGTAACTCCAGAGTGCCAATTTCCGGTCACTTTTGCCGGTCCAGGTCCGGATAAAGGAGCAGGGTTGGAATTGTGACATTAAAAAACAATAATTGCTAAAAGAAATTTAATTTGTAGTTCTAAATAAATTCTAACTGCATTTAGGACGTTTTTTACTCACTTTATGTCTCTTCCACGATGTTATTTCTCTCTCCAACAACGTAGGTCACAATTACATTAGCATGACCAATTATGCAAATTAGGCGATGACGTCATTTGGCGACTTCTAGCAACTTTTAGGACAGCCAATAGCGATTTTCCTTACTGAGGAGTTGGCAACACTGGTGTGAAGTGTCTGAGGTGTCAGAGTTCTGATGTTTGTGGCCCGAGATGGTTCTGAGGCCTCTCCAGACTTCGCCAACGTTTTTTTGCTGAAACTGGTTCTCCATCTTCTGCCTGTAGCTGTCCTTCCCATTCCTTATCAGTCCCCTCAGCTCTCTCTGCACCCTTTTCAACTCCTCTTTGTCTTTGGATTTGAAGGCCCTCCTCTTCTGCTTGAGGACAGCTTTAATTTTTGGGGTAATCCAAGGTTTCTTGTTGGAGAAACACCACACAGTCCTTGTTAGGTACGGTGTTATCCACACAGAAATTAATATAGTCAGTAATGCATGTAGTAAGGCTGTTGATGTCCTCTCCGTGGTCGTCACAGATCACCTCCCACACAGTCGACTCAAAACAATCCTTAAGAGCCTCCTCGTTCTCCTCCGACCATCTCTGTACTGTACGGGTGGCTGGTGGCTCCCTGCGCACTAAGGGCTCATACACAGGGACAAGGTGCACCAGGTTGCGGTCAGATCTGCCCAGAGGAGGGAGAGGTGATGAACTGTATGCCTCTTCTGCATTGGCATACAGTAAGTCCAGTGTT